TAGCTTACAGGCTGAAGTGATTACCCTAAAACCTTAACACCAGTTTGATCTCCGTCTTTTACATTTTAGGTCCCAGCCTGATTGGAACTTGGGTTTCTTGAATATATAACATTGTTTCCTACCGTGGGGGCTTTGCATGTGCTGTTTCTGTCTAGAATGTTCTCTGCACTTCCTTGCTCAGCTAATACCAGTGAATTCCTGCATAACCACTTCCAGTGAATCCTTTACAATTCATCTCAAATCTCGTTTGAATGTCACTTCCTCAGGGAAGCCTTTCCAGAAAGATTAATGTAGGTCTCTCTCCTACTGAGCCATAGGCACCATGAAGGCAAGGGGTGGCTTATTTTATTCACTACTTTACATGTAGCATTCTTCAGGCACACAGAATATATTTATGGGATAAATGAATGCACATGACGAAGTGAATGAACAAGGGTAAGGCTGGTCCATGGGGGGCCACAGAGTCACTGTAGGAAGTTTTTAAATTGATATTTATAACAAATGATGTGTAGATTTTAAAACACGACTACACTCATTGGGAGGTTTAAATACATTTTGCCACGAGAAAGAGTTCCTCATGGAGAACAATATTGAGAATCACCAACTCTGGTCACAAATAAATACATTTACTAATCTATATTCATATAGCTATCAGACATGCCCAACAAGAGGGCTCAGATATAGATTCCTTCAGCTTTCGGAGAAGCGGGGTGGAGCCTAGGGCAGCTAAACCAATTGGCACAATATGCTGTACCCTTTTTCTATGAGTGGCATGACATAAAATAGTTTGCAAACTGCTTCTAATTGGGAACAATTTGAAGGTGTTTTTTGTTGTTTGCTGCTTTTAAAAAAATTATTTAAAATAAGTGGATTGAGATATTCAAAAGCACAATGAATTGAATCAATAAAGCTAAACTTGAATCCATCTAACATACTATATGTTCTTTCATTGTGTTATCAGGCCACCACCAAAATGTCATTCATGACATGTGTATAATAGCATTTATATGATATATATTTATCATATGATGGATGTACAATGGAAAAAAGTAGAATATAAAGTAATAAATGCACTATCATTGTAAAACACAAAGATAGTTAATAGCAGTTGTACTTGATTAGTTTAGATTGTGATTTTTATTTCTTACTATATTATTTCTATTAGAGTAAAAATGCAGCCTTTAAATAAAAATAGATATAATTATAAATAACACACTGACTGTTCTTTTTCCCCTCTGCACAAACAGGGAATATAGCTGTGGCACATGTAAATCACCTTGCTACAATACAACTTTTATACAAAAGATTTTTATGATCAACTATTATAATTAACAAGTTAAGTTGACATTATAGATAGATATAGATATAGATATAGATTAGATATAGATATAGATATAGATATAGATATAGATATAGATATAGATATAGATATAGATATAGATCAGAGAAAGAGCTGTTTTGCTTATAATTGTTGAGCACAGTATTTAGCAATTAAGACATCAGTGATAGTACGACTTGAATCCCGTTTCTGGGTGTCTACCCTCAAAATGTGAAGACACTTATTCATAAAGATATATGGATGCCTATGTTCATTGCAGCATTTTTCACAATAGCCAAGATATTGAAACAGCCTACCTATTCTTTGACCAATGACTGGCTAGAGAAGATGTGGTACATGTGTGCAATGGAATACTACTCACCCATTTCTGACTACATGGATGGCCTTTGAGAGTATCGTGTTAAGTAAAATAAGCTGGATGGAAAAGGACAAGAACCATATGACTTCACTCACATGTGAGATATAAAACAAAGTCACGGATAAACGAACAAAACAAATAAACAAATAAAACAAACAAACCCATAGACAAGCAGCAGGGTGGTTACTAGAGGGAAAGGAGGTAGGTGAAGAGGGTGAAGGTATCAGATATACGAGGACACAAGGAAACTAGACTTTGAGTGGTGGGCACACAATGTAATACACAGATGATGTATATAGAATTGTACACCTGACATAATATTATTAACCAATGTTACCCCAATACACTTATTTAAAAATATTTTATTTAAAAAAATAAGTCTCTATTCATAGATCCAGATACTTGGAGTGAAGTAAAACATTTACTTTTTCTATTAGCATCAACCATAAGAAGCTTCAACAGGACATAAAGGTAAAGTTTCCGTTAAGAATAGCTTTCTTGGTAGGAAACATCTCGTGAGACAGGCCAAGGGCACATGCCCTCAGTAGGGAACATTGAGAACCAGCTCCCCGGGGTACTTCTCTCAGCCAGTCTGCCTGGACCAGCCGCTGGAGCTGGATGCCTCGTGTAATTTTTCCGAAAAGGGTGATCTGTACATTTCATGACCACTGACACCTGATTATACTAACCGTATAATTGTTTCTCACAGTTGAGTTTCTAAACGTCTCATCTAAATCGATCTTTATGGTTAGTCCTACTTTATTTATTTATTTATTTATTTATTTATTTATTTATTTATTTATTTATTTTACCCAGATGGGCATAGTTAATGAGACAGTATCAAAATCTTTTCACATGGATAATAATATCATCCTTGTAGTTGGATTTTAAGAAATATTAATCTTACCTTGAATGACTTTTGAAAAATCAAGAAGAACTTTAAAAACTAAAGCTTACACAGTGGAATCAAAGCAGCACCTCAGTTCTAAATGGTAGAGATTTTGTGATCTATATAAAAATTTAGAGGTATAAACAGAAGTAGTATAAAGGTACTTTAGAGCAATTACAGCCTCGTCCTAATCCCTACAATGTTGCCAAACCTTAGAAATTCCTGAACTAGAAAGTGAAAGTACAATGTATTTAATGGGAAAAAATCCAATACAGAGAGACAAAAATGTTAACCCAAATAGACGTTTAAACTTGTGAATTCAATTAAAAAGCGTTCACTGGGGAATAATTCACAATTCACCTTGTCTGAGTGATAAGATATCTAATTAGAAAAATGCTATCAACTTCGGAAATCTTCAGATATGAATTACTAGAAAGATATAAAATGCTAACACTGTTAAAGGCATAACTATACCTTCCTCAATATGTATGTTAAGTATGTGTTTATGTACAAATGTACATATTTATTTATTTGGCTGTTTTGAAGGATAATGATTACATTATCAATCTCTCTAGAATTTGGATCAATGTTTTTTTCATCAAATGATCCCCATTTTCTAAATAATTATCAGTATTAAGAAATGTGAATTGTGCATTCATTTGGATATAATATTAATTAAACAGAAAAATTCAAACTGATCTTACTTTTTAAATTCAAGTATGAATATATGATAACTAATTTATAACCCTGTCAAATTTATGGACAAATAGCAATATTTTAAACAAATAGCAATATTTTGAACCACTAATTAATTACCACTTAGTAATTTCATTGCCTTTCTTTGTTCTTTCATTATAATTAAGCTCTAACTATATGAGAATATTTTAATAAAAATAAAATTTGTGGGTATTTTCCAGACAGTTTAATTTTATGATATGCTATCAGAGTGAGAGTAGTTTGCCTACATAAGGTTAAATAATTCTTGCACAGATAAAATTATTTTTACATTATAGACATACAATAATATTATCTGTAGATCAAACCATATATCAAGTGTATTAGGTTATACGTCTATTGATTACTTCTACTAACAACATCCTTCACTTTTATATCCCTTTATAACTCACAAAGTATTTTTACACATCATCAATTAAATCACAAAAATACCATTTTAAAGGTAAGATCATGAGATAGAGAGGTGTTAAGTCATGGCCATGGTCAATTGGTTAGGAAGCAGAGAGCCAGGAGCAGAACCAATATAAAGAGCTGTTGCCATATCTGTCTTCTAATTGTCTGAATCTGAATTTCAGTGAGTTTGTTTTCTTACTATCTTTAGTTGAAACATGTGAAAGCAAACCCACAAATGCCCAGAATTCACGAGATGCACACACAATTATCTTTACAAAGCCAAGAGTGAACTGAGAAGGATATAACTAATTCCCAAATTGCTTTCCATACTAGTCAATTTTAAGCCTGTGACTAGCATCAACACTGAGTAGAGGAAATCAAAGTTATGCAAAAACTTTAATCAGTGGAATGTCTGAAGTTTAACAGGGAAACAGAAGTAGATCTAAGAATACTTAGGATTAAAAGATCTTTGACTTTTTTAGTACTAGACCATTTTTTTCATCTTCATAGATTATCAAGACAAAAATATATTTTATTTCCTTTGCTTTTAGGTTATTACAAAACCAACCGATCAAGTTCTGCTGCTGAACTATCTATTTACTGAGATATTTTGTCGATTTAATCTTTCAGGTATCCTGTAGCATATCAAATACTAAATTATGTTTACTTAAATTACTTCACTGCGGAAAAGAGGGGAGGATTATACAGATTACAATTTGTAACAAGTGATTTAAAATTTTTGTAAGAAAAAACAAGCTCAAATTACTTCAAATCTTTTTTTTTTTTAAGTCTGTGTTTTAAAGCAAATCATTTTAATAGAGAAACTTGTAATTTGTAATACAGAAATGAGAATTCATGGGATGTGTACTGTCACAATATTCTGAAAACAGTGACACCCAACTTCAAGGTAAACCAATAATGTATTAACACAGGAACATATTTTCCAGACTTCTTATTTTTCACACAATTTCACAAACAACTATTGAACACAACAACCATTCATTCAGAAAGTATTTTTAGTGGGAGAAAGAATGTATTTGCAATCAGTATTTATATTGGACTTTAAAATGACCATTTTCCTTGTTGAGATGATCTTCCATACGAAAGTAAAGGTGCTATGTAATAATTACCTTCAGTGGTTTGCTTCTTTTTCCTAAGTAAATAGTTTCTTCCCATCAGAGTGACGGACTTTGTTAAGTCCAACCAAATATTTGATCTTATTTCTGTTCAAAATCAATTTTTAAATCAAGTTTAAGACCAAAGGAAGAAAAAAAAATGTCACTTACTTTGCTTTAGCTTCTGCATCCTCATAGGCTTTATTAGAAACATCATCCAATCCTCCAATCAAATGCTTGAAAGAGCTGTTAGAGGAAAAACACAGTGAAGATAAGTCCTCTACAAAGCTGTAACAATGACAACCTAGTCAGTGATATAGTGAAACAATGTAGAAGGATCTAATAAAAATTCATTCAAACACTTTATCTAGATACATTATTAAGACACATATTGGGTAATGATACATACTCTATGCCAGCTGGGACCTCTCTGTCATATTCACTTCTATAGTTCCCACACTGAGAACCACATCTGGCAAAAGCAGATATTCAAAGAATTGGGGGAAATCAAGTCTATGGCAGACCAGCTAATATATATCACAAAGGTAATGAGTTGATTATAATAATGAAATAACAACAAGATCTACCAATTATTGAATGCCGAATGTATTCCAGGCACTATTCCTTTCCTTTTTATGAACATATATTAATTCCAATTCTCAAATAAACTATCAAAGATAAGAATCATTAACTCCACTTAACAAAACAGTAAAATAATCTTTGAAGTCAAAACAAAGCAGAAGATAAGAAACCTACTAAGAGGAGAGAATTGTAGAAAAATCAACTCATTCTGGAGAAGAAACTGATTTTTCGCATAAACCAGAAGAGGAATGTATCTGTTTAAACTCAATCTAGTCAATATTTTACTGTGTACCTAGAACTGTGCTCTGACCTACTTTACAGAGTGAAGTCTCCCCTCTTATATATCTATAAAATATCAGAATCAGAACAAAATGAATACACACATGAAATCACTCTAGAAAATTAGTGCGCGCAACTACATATACAGTAACTCCTATGCACACTACATTTTAGCAACCACTGAACTACAATGAATGAAGAAACATAAGGAAACTCTATTGTTTACATAATAATCAGAGCCCCCTCTTACATTGGTCTTATACACCTGATATTGTTCTATGCAGTTTACATGCAGTAACAGATACTTTAATAGTTACAGATATTCTATGATTAAGTATTATCTCCATTTTCTAGATGAACGAGAGGTTAAGAAACTGACCTACAGTCATACAGTCAAAAGACTGATAGGGAAGGAGCGGTCCTTTTCCTTCATGCTCTTAGACCTCTACTACAGCTCCCATCTAATCTGTGTGTCTTAAAGGTAACTACCAATCTCTAGCAATGTCTGATGTGTGTGTGGAGGATTTTAAGTGCTGAAAGAAATTTCATTTTAATTTAAATGTTGTTTATCTTAATAAATGCAAATGGCCTTGTTTGTTATGAGTATTAAACCAATATATGGACACTCAGGTGCTGAAACATAGTAAGATGTTTGCCGATTTAAATTTAGATGTTGCTTAATCCCTTTCACATAAACTCTTTTTAAAAGAACAATAAAAAGGAACTTGACACTCTGTTTAGGACTGACTTGGGTGGGGGTGGAGGGAGTAGCTGTTATTTCAGGCCCTTTAATAATGATCTCATCTGGGAAACGGTAACTAAAGCTGGGTAACTAAGTATTTCTAATATAAAAAGAAAATGGCTAGACAGAGGACCAAGGAATCAAAAATTCTATTTTAGAGTGCCAAGTCTTCTGTAATGAATTGTGTTCATGAATACCAAATAAATAAATACTGAATGAATAAGCAACAGGTAGCAGTCCTTATAAGTTTTTTTAAAAATATACAATTAATGATTAAATAAATGACAAATATAATCTCCACGGTTGAAAATCATGTTTAAACATGATTTTGCTACTGTTCTTTCTATGGTAAAATTTCCCAGCTTCCCATAGAATGCTTTGGTCATTATTTAGAGAAAGCCTGGTTTTAGAGAAACTTTCTAAGGCTAGAGGGTTTATATTACAATGTAAAATACAATATTTCTTTTACTATGAAAAAATATCCTGTGGTTTTCTGTTTTTATAGATAATATAGAATGTAAACAGAGAAAATGTTACTTGTCCAAGATGATTGCATTTGAATAGCATATTCAGAATATTATTTCATTTTCACTATTCCCACTGTCCTTTACAAGACTTAGATATCGAAAATATTTCAGTCTAAAGTATTGTGAAAAAGCACTGACAGAGAGAAACCAAAGAGCAACGGCTGCTAAAACTTCGCTTTTTAAATATACTTGGATATAGGAAAAGACTGATCTTAGACATTTAAAACTGTTGTTTTTGAAAGTTGAAATTGTTTTAAAAATTCCTGCCTTCCTCCTAGTATCTATTTAAGCTAAAGTCATTTTAAGCAGAACAGTATATTATTAAAGAATCAGAGAGGGAACTGATGACAAGTTTGATAAGGATGAAGACTTAGTAACTTCAATAAACTCAGTTAAAACTATGCAGATCACTTTTAAAAAATTAATTTATTTTTGTTACAGATGTTTCTCTTTTTTCCCCAGTGACATCCTCCTCGATCTCCTCCCCCCCCCCCCCCCCCGTTGTCTATGTCCATTGGATATGCATAAGTTCTTTGGTTTATCTCTTCCCACCCCCACCCACCCTCTCTGAGGTTTGTCAGTCTGAACCCTAGTTCTATGTCTCTTGATCTATTTTGTTCATCATATTCCAGAAATAAGTGAGATCATGTGGTACTTGTCTTTCTCTTTTTAAAAATATAGTTTGAGATTTCTATTAGTAAGTACATAAATCGGAAAAGCCTGCATTTGGAAAAACTACACAGAGTTTTAAAAGTATAAACCATCTAATCACAGCAAAGAAGTTAAAAGTAAATTGAGCCTAATTGGGGGTGGGGGACATTTTAGATCTGCTAATGAGCTGTTTATATTCATTTTTGTTAAATTTTATATCAAATTACAAGTATCACATTTAAAATGAATGAACAAAAGAAGTATTTGAAGTATTAATTTTTCGTAAGTCTTAAGGGTCCTTGATTCACAATATAAATTTTCTATGTGGTGCTAATGATCCAATATTTATTTTTTCTTACTATAAGATAAATAGTAAAAGAAATAATATGTACTTACAAAAGACCCCCATATTGATATGATAGAAAATTATTTTTGAAATAAGTTCCCTCTAATTGAGGAACATGCTTTTCATTAAAAATGTAATTGATTTTCTATTACGAAAAAAAATTTAAAACTGAGAGAAGAAATTACTCCTAGTTTCTAACCACAAATAACCACTGGAAAAAAATCTTTATATATTTCTTTTTACCATTTTTTCTGCATAACTTCATTGCTGTAATCATAAAGTAGTTACAATTTAAATCTTGATTTTTAATTTACTCTTATAGCTTAAGTGTATACTTTTATTTTTTAAAAATTCTGTAGGTTATATTTTCACAGCACAATAATAGGTCATTGCATGCACACGTCATAGAATACCTACTTTATCCATCTAGACACACAAACACCAACACACACATGCATATTCAGATGAAGAAGGGGATACGGCAACTATGTATAAAAACTGTTATATTTGTACTCTTGCTTACAGATTAAATATGGAATTTCTTTTCAAAGCAAAATACCCAGTACCATAATCTGGGAATTGGAACCATATGCCCTCTGACAATAATCTTTATTTAGAAAGCAATCCTGGCCAAATATCATTTTTTCAAAATAAGGAACAAATGCATCTTGCATTCTGTTTCCTCAAACAATAAGTCAACCATTATCTTTAACTAAGAGTTTAAGAAAATGTAGACTTTTCAAGCAATATTAATAAGTTCCCAATGACTTTTCTCTTTGTATCCTGCACTAGTCATTGAATAATTTATCTTGCTAAACATAATTGATAGCATTACATAATTTATCACTCCTGGTGCAAGTGTGGACTAATTAGTGTTACATTTTCCCCTCTCACATGCTCTGTAGGAACACCTGCCATCTGTGGGGACCCTCATTAAACAGACATTTGGAAAATTATTACTGTAAGTATCAGATGCCTTTTTAAAATATTTACTCAGGTCCTATGACATTTCTTGAATACTAAAGAAGACTTGTTGTATTTGAACAGGGATTATAAGGAAATGTTTGAAAACTTTAAAAACTGAATGAGCAGAAACCATACAATGTTATTTATCAGTTACTATAACAAATACAGGAAAATCATTAAACTTTTCAAATTCAGGAACAAATTCTATTTTAGAACTGTAAAATAAAATAGTCAATCTCACATATACCCTAGACATAATTTCAGGATAAATAAAGGCAATATTAATGAGCAAAAGACTTGAATGCAGAGCATGTTGGGAGAAAAGCTTACTGCATGTACACGGAGTATGAAGCAGTTTCCTGTTGCTTTCCTTGGGGTGTGAAATCCATTTTAACAAGTCTTGGCAGAGTTCTTTTGAGAAGGTGGGTAAAATGTTATTAGTTAAGGATACTGAGGTATAAAGAGAGCAAATGGAAAATCTCTTTTATATTTAATGCTGGTAGTGTAAACATACTTGCAATGGAGGAGTAGAAAAGAAAGCAGAGATAAAGGAAGGAGGGAAAGAAGGAGGCAGGGAGGGAGAAAGAAGGGAAGGAAAAAATGGAGGGAAAAAAAAAGAGGAGAAATGATGCATCTTTTACATCAAGAATGCTATTTACAATTTTTTTTCTTAAGAAATAACATCAAAGCCCTGACCAGTCAGGCTCAACCGTTAGAGCACTGGCCCATGGACTGAAGGGTCTCGGGTTCAATTCCTGGTCAAGGGCTAGGTTGCAGGTTCGATCCTGGCCCCAGTGAGTCATTCAGGAGACAACCAGTAGATGTGTCTCTCTCACATCCATCTTTCTCTTTCTCTCTCTTTCTCCCTTCCACTCTATCTCAAAATAAATGGAAAAATATCCTTGAGTGAAGATTAACAAAAAAAAAAAAAAAAGCCATTTAAAAGGCTGTTTCTCATTCTAGAAAATGTGCCTGTTTTAGAACATTATAGTGATAGTAACTCGGTGGGTATTAATTTCAGTTACTAAATGTTTTCATGATTAAGCCAAAACATTCTTCTAAGGGAGCTGATTACTTAGTGGTATGTCTAAAAGTGTATAATTTTGTTCTTCAGTTGTGTTATGATGAGACTTCATCTAGAGAGAAACAGGGT